GTAGTACTGATGTAATATTTTTTCCTTCCAAAACCTAACCTTCTTCCTTCACGAAAAACCATCCCTACACCTTCCACCTAAACATAAAATTTCGGTCAACTTTAGATCCAAAAATTCTATGTGGACTGAAACCTAAATGGGGAGTGAAACGTCATACACCTTTTCGCTAAGGAGAAACCTCTAAAAGAATATTCAAGCACTTATCATGGAAGATATACAGTATGAAATTCTCCAATTACATCATATTCTCACTTATTTTGAACGAAGAAAACATGATGAGGTCGCAAAAAAGCCATAACACCAATCAGTCGGAAGGAGGGGGGTGATGAAAATCCTTTTCACCTAGAAACATCAATTGATGAAGAGCCGATGCATCATTGATTCAACTTGAGCGTAGGAGAAGAGAAAGTGACTATGAAGTGAAGGCTGATTTTATTACATTTTGATGGTCATATGGATTCAAATGAGTTTATTGGGTGAGATTAAATTGTGGAGCAATTCTTTGAGTATAAGCACATTCTATTTGATAGAAGGGTGGAGTTTGTTGCAATTAAGTTGAAGAAAATTGCTTCCTTATTTTGGGAGAACTTAAAACTTTTGTGCTGGCATGAAGATAAAAGCAAGATCACAATCTTGTTCAAGATGAAGAAGAAGATCCAGTGCAAATATTTTCCAACACACTACAAACATATTATTTTGACATTATTTACAACAAAAGGACCTATCGGTAGTGGAGTTCACTTCTGAATTTGAACTTATGTTAAAGTATGAGTTGATTGAATTAGAGTAGAACACCATGACCCAATATCTTAGAGGTTTGATACCTTTTATTGGCAAGTTGAAGTTATAGCTCGATTGGACATTGCGGGATATGTAAACCTTAGTTCTAAAGGTGGAAAAGCAACATAGTAACATCAAATATACTCTTTCCTTCCAATATGCAATCATGGACCAAAGTCCAAAATTTACCCTACTTGAGAAGTCAATATAGGAAAGAGCAAAGATTGATCGGGTCAGCACTATGAAGTTTTTTTATCCAGCAAGTATCTCAAGTGTCATGCGTATGGGCACATTGCAATGGACGAGGAGAAGGGGGATGAGCACAAACTTCTTGTAGATTTAGGTGAGATACTGTAGTTCAACGAGTTCTTCAGACCTAGCCTGAGATAGAGTAGTAATAGCTTAGGCATTTAATCTTGTGTACTTGTAATTTAAAGGGATGGTGTGCATCTCTTCATGGATGGAGACGGTAGTAAGAATGTAATTTTTATCTAGATTATGGACAAATTGAGCTTCACTCACGAGAGTATTCCTAGCTATATTATATGAGTTAATTTAAGAAAATAAATGAGATCAATGTTGACAAGCGGTGCCTGGTAGAGATTTTCATTCGAGATAAACTCAATAGCAGGCGTTGTGTGATATCGTACCTGTGAACGTGTCACATCTTGTTTGGTCCACCATCATAGTATGGTAGGGGCATGATTCATGATGGCCATAAGAACACTACTCTTTTATCAAAGATGAGAAACATATTATTTTTCTTTCATTGTAAGAATCAACACTGATGATTACTTAGACGGAGAGATATTGTTTTATGCACCATTTTTCTACAGGTTATTAGAGAGGTGCTAGTGGAACTGACCTTGATGATGTTGGATGCCTATATGATAAAGCTGACATCAGACAAAATGTGACCTCTATTGGAGGAGTTTTAGGATATTACAAGTAGCTTATCACCTTGGATTATCACCCCTACGTGAAATTCAACATGCCATTGATCTCATACTAGTATCAGTGGTTCCCAACAAGACAATCTATCGAATGCTACGTGTAGAAAATGGGAAATTATGGAAACAAATATAAGATTTGGTTGTCAGAGGATAGTTTGTAAGAGTATTAGTCAATGTGGTGTACCAACTTTGATTGTGCTTAGGAATGATGAATCATAGCATGTGTACTGACAACAGAAAAGTGAACAAAATTATCATTAAGTATTGATTTTTTATTCTAAAATTGGTTGATTTATTGATTTGTTGAATGAAGCTAGTATATTTTCAAGATTGATTTGCACATTGGTTACCATCAAATTTGAATGAGACTCGGGAAAGAGGGGAAGACCATCGAGATGGACTGCATGAGTGGATGGTCATGCCTTTTAGCTTGTCTAATGCTCCTAGCATCTTTATAAGGATGATGGGCCAGGTTTTGAATCTTTATTGAAAAATTTTTTGTTGTGTAATTCGAAGATATTTTGTTGCATAGTTACTCAAAGGAAGAAGATTTGCAACATTGGCAATAGGTTTTTGGATACTGTGATCTGATTAGCTGATGTTTATCCAAAGAAATCTCATGTTCTAACGCTGCAGATGTGAGATGGACTGCATGAGTAGATGGTCATGCCTTTTATGTCTAATGCTCCTAGCTTCTATATAAGGATGATTTTGGGTCTTTATCGAAAAATTTGTGGTTATGTACTTCGAAGATATTTTGTTGCATTGTTGTTCAAAGAAAGAATATTTGTAGCATTAGTGATAGGTTTTTAGAGTACTTTGATCTGATTAACTGATGTTTATCCAAAGAAATCTCGTGTTCTAACACTGCCAACATATATTTTTTTTGGCTATATTATTTTAGTTGTTGGCATTCACATGGACCTTACTAAGATCGAGGATTTGTAAACTAGCTTAGTTCATGCTCATCATTTAGGTGCATCATATCCATGGACTGATTTTTTTTTCTAGGCAATTTATCTGAAATTTTTGCCTTATAGTGGCATCCTTGACAAAGCTTATCTTCTTGGTTAGATGAAAAACATGTTAAGTTTGATGCTCTGAAGAACCAAGTTACATAGGTCTCTGTTCAAGCTCTTCTAGATTTTGATTAGGTGTTTTGGTTGAGTGTGCATCCATTGTGGGGATTGGAGCTATGTTGAGCTAATGTGAACACTCCGTTGTCTTCATTAGTAAGAAGCTAAATGATTCAAATGATAGTATTTTATCATGCCATTATGAGAGCTCTTAACCATTAAAATCATTATTTACTTGCCAAAAAATTCTCCCTTTACACTAATAACGAGATCCTAAAATTTTTAAAGGCTAGAATAAGCTTAAGAGCAGACACGTCTCATGAGATAAATTTCTACGTCTTTTGATTTTGTGCTAAAGCAAAAGTTGGGACTCAAAATAAGTTAATTGATGCGTTGAATCATTGTCACTTGCTAATCACTATTATGCAATTGAATATAGTTGGTTGTGAAGTTGTAAAAATGCATATGCCACTAACGAGGGTTTCAAAGAGATTTGGGTTCATTGTCAGGATAAACTGTATGAGTAGTTCTGTTGATAAGGTGGTTACTTATTCAATCAGAACATACTATGTATCCTTAGGATTTCACTCAGGGAGAGCATTTTACAGGATTCATAATGTTGGGATGATTTGATATTTTGGTAGAAACAAGACTGTTCTTAATGAAAGACAAATTTTATTGGCCTAGATTTGTATGGGATGTAGAAAGACATGTTAGACGGTGTAAGGCATGTCATTTAACGAAGACTCGAGGTCAGTAGATGGGCCTCTATAATTTGTTACCTATTACAGTGTTTTTTTGGGTGGACATAGGCATGAACTCTGTTTTAGTTTGCCCTTGACACAGTGAAGTAAAGACTTGTCGGTCAACTTTTTTTCGATTGATTAATTATGAAAATATGGTATATGAAAATAATTTTTTGAAATTTAATTTAAGTATAAGAGGTATATAGTTTAGGTTTTGAAAGTAGTATGTTTTAAAATGAGACCAAATGGATCTCATTCGTCCAATAGTTTGCATAATCGTGTCTGACACCCTGAATACTACACATTCCAAGAGAAAAGTGTAGACCCCGATAATAGGCCCAATCCTGCAAACTAAGAGATTTGTGACATCC